TTTCTCAACATTGCGATTGGAATAGAAGTGTAGTTTCAAATTGAACTTCATCACTCTGGTATGCGGATTTTTAGAAAGCACCCAAACAAACTAAATAGTTTTGTGTAATATTTTTCCCTTTCAAGTATATATAACAATATGATATATTCTCCCTTTACTATTTCACTTTAATAATTTCTTATGATATATTTAAATGAGGAACTTTAAAATGATATATGTAAAGCAAAAGGTAGGGCTGAACTTTCTACATGTTAATATTAGAATATTTGTTCATTTTTTCAGCCTTTTAAAATTTATTTATCCCTTCACAAACGATTATTTATTTATTAGAAAATTTAATATCTCAGATTGATGTTCATTTGATTCCCCAAACATACCAAATAGTAACCCTTCCCGGAAGCAAAAGGATAAATTATAAAATCAAATTAAAGATGATTGATTGAAGGATAAATGATAAGATATTACAATCTATAAATTCCATGATATTAAATTCCTGCGCGAGGGGCGAATAATTTTACTAGTAGTAACATATGAATGAGAGTATTAATCATGTCTACAATGCAAGGGAGATTAATAGCCCGTTTGATCAAGTTTTTAAGGTTAAAAATATATTATTTTTTCTTCAAAAAATACTTATTTTAGAAAAGTAAAATGTTTGGTTAAGTTTTTAGGAGAAAATAAATACTTCCAACGAGTAGCTGAAACTATTTTTTACAAGTTAAACAAAATAGTTTTTTTTTTTCCGAAAGCACCTTTTTGAAAACATTTTTGAGAAAATACACCTGAATTTTTTGGTAAAATGTATAAAAATGGTGTTGAATAGAGTGTCTTAGTAATGCTTGAATTAATTATGCTGGTAGGGCTATTCAAAATCAAATCAAAATCAATAACTCGAACTAAAAGAAGTTATTGATTTATCAATAATGTGTTATGATTTAGTGGTTTTAATACTAATCTTAACTTTTTTTTATATAAAATTATCCATTCTTAACGGTTTGAGGATTTTTCTTACGGGTTCACCGGTAATATGATAGTAAATTAATAAAATAATTTATATCATTCGGTATATAGAGTCATTGACTTGGGGTTTAGTTCCATACTTTCATTTATGACTATCTCAAACTCTCGGTTATTCTACAGTGTGACAATGCTTGCTTTTGAGCAAAATGTCTGTCAGCGTTTCTATGTGATTTTTTGAAACTCTCGTTTCTATGTGATTTTAAATGATCTTGTTATGTGAAATCTTAACCGTTAACCGATAATGACCAATGATCGATAGTGATATTTTAATGGGTATATAACAATTTAGCATGTCTACACATTGATAATCAATAAGTTGAACCGATAAACATCAAACTCAAACCGGACCGATACACAAACCTAATGCTGGGAATATTTCTTATCCACTATTTGGTTTAATGTATTAAAGACAATTTTGTCTTTAACCATGCTTATTCATATAATAATAACCCTTGCATTACTCATACCATAATTTGCAATGTATTAATTATACACCCTATAATATTGAATAAGGTGTATAAATCATGTATAAGTTATACATAAGATGAAAATCTTACCAAACAACTGATTAAATAAATATCCTACTTAATACATGTATTAGAATCTCTAATACAACCTACCAATCATTTAGAAGCATTTTAAAAACGCTTGTCGAACATTAATTGCCGCTCAAAAAATGTTTTTTAAATTTTTTGGTCAAACATAAACTGCTTCTCGCCAAAAATACTTATTTGAAAATCATATTTATAAAAAAATACTTTTCAAAATAAGCTGTGGCAAATGTTCACCAATATGAGAGAAATTACATGGGTGAAACCAGGAAGGATCAAAGAGGTTTTGAAGTGCTGGAATAGAGATGGAAATGCAGGAAGAAAGGAGGAGAGATGGAAGATGGTCCCATCATGTATATGGTGGACAGTATGGCTAGAGAGGAACCAGAGATGTCATGAAGGAAAGCAGAGCAACATACAAAGATTTAAGCTTAAATGTTTAGCCCTGTATTATTTTTGGTGTAAACAAGTAGTCTTAGATAGTTCAGAAGTAATCAGCACAAATATAGACTGGCTGTAACTTGGTAGGTATAGGATCCTATGTAACTACAACACTTTTGGAGGGGAACTACACTTTTGAGGTAGTATACCTGTGGATGAATATAGACTAACTGTTATTTTTATCAAAAAAAAAAAATAAGCTGTTTTTAGAAACTTTAACCAAACTGACTAGAATTCTAACTATCATAGTAGTGGAACTGTTGCATGAGTCAAAGGTCTTTCAAGTCTCCTGTTGATCTTTCTCCTTTGTTAATAATGACTTGGATTATGTGCATGCATAATATTGCCTACTGAAGTTTGTCAGTTCAATTCTTGAAACCAAATGCAAGCCACAATGTTTGTCTATCTTCCTTCTATTCTGTACTTGTCTTTCTTTTTACATTTGGTGCTTTCCCAATTGCCCCCAAATCAAATTAATGCCATGACAAAGGTCTATGATCTGCTTCAGAATGATACTGGTTCTTCTTTTGCATGGAATGGGATTGATAGAAACTCAATCCCATGTTCTTGGAAAGGGATTTCTTGCAATTCTAACAATTCTTCCCTTACCAAAGTTACCTTTTCATTGTTCACTATTTCTAGCTCTGAATTCTTGCCTGTTATTTGTCAAATTGATACTTTGGAGTCTATTGATGTTTCCCAAAACTTTTTGAGCTCTATCCCAAATGAGTTCATCACTGTTTGTGGGGGAATTAGTGGGTTGAAATTGTTGAACTTTAGTGGGAATAAATTGGAGGGTTTTTTGCCTACTTTCACTGGTTTTGGAAAGTTGGAGTCTTTAGACTTTTCTTTTAATCGCTTGAAGGGGAAAGTTGACTTGCAGTTGGATGGATTGAATTCACTCAAGAGTTTGCACCTTAGCTCTAACATGTTTAATGGGTCAGTTCCTACCAGTCTTGGAAAATTTAATCTTCTGGAGGAGCTTCATCTTTCTGCAAATTCTTTTGAAGGTGAATTCCCCACTCAAATTGTGAACTTTGGTAACTTAACTTTGATTGACCTATCTCTAAACTTCCTATCTGGTGTAATTCCTGATAGATTAGGTGAACTTTCAAAATTGCAAGTCTTGATTTTGTCAACCAATAGATTGAGTGGCACAATCCCACAATCCCTTAGGAATATCACAACGCTGACACGTTTTGCTGCGAATCAGAATTTTTTTGTTGGAAATATACCCTTTGGTATAACCACATATCTGAGGAATTTGGACCTCAGTTTTAACAGATTAAATGGTACAATTCCTCAGGACCTCTTATTCCCAATGAACTTGCAGTTTGTTGATCTCACTTCCAATAATTTAGAGGGACCTGTTCCTTCAAACATGTCGATAAGTTTGATCAGGTTGAGATGGGGGCAAAATGCTTTGAATGGATCATTTCCATCTGCTTCCTTTGAAAGCCTTCAAAGTTTGACCTACTTGGAACTGGACAACAACCAGTTAACTGGACCAATTCCTTCTGAATTGGGGAAGTGCCAAAAGTTGGCCCTTTTGAACTTAGCCCAGAATAAGCTGAGTGGTGTTATTCCTGTTGAGTTGGGTGATATTTCTAATCTTCAGGTACTGAGTCTTCAGTCCAATAACCTAGTTGGAGAAATTCCAAGTAACATTTCACAGTTGAACAGATTGCAGAGGCTCAATTTCAGCTGGAATTTGTTGACTGGTTCCATTCCAAGTTGGTTATCAAGTTTGAGAAATCTCACAAACTTGAATTTGCAGGCGAATAATCTAAGTGGTCGAATTCCGGTTGACATTAGTAACTTAAATGTGCTGTTAGAACTCCAACTTGGAGGGAACCAACTCGGTGGACCTATTCCTGATATGCCTTTGAGTTTACAGATTGCTTTGAATCTGAGTCACAATCTTTTTCAAGGACCTATGCCAAGTAGTTTTTCGAGATTGACTTCATTGGAAGTTTTGGATCTCTCTTACAACAGGTTCTCGGGTCAGATTCCAGACTACCTGACGGGAATGAGAGGCTTGACTAGGTTGGTGCTTTCAAACAATCAACTGTCTGGAGTTGTTCCAGAGTTTGAAAGCTTTGTCAGTGTTGAGACAGGTGGAAATGGGGATCTGATCTATCCTTCCGCAGTTGCAAAATTGGAATACAATGACAAAAAGGGCAAGACATTGTCATCAACCATAGTCCTCCTCCTCTTTGTTTTAGGTGGCTTTGGTTTTGGTATATTTGCAAAATTTTGTATACAGTACGTTGTTTCAAATAGCCTGCACCGAACTAAGGTTTGTTGGATCACTGACGATAGCCTCCACAAGTCTCAAATTACACTGTCCAAGACCATGGCTGCAGTTTGTAGGCCAATTAACATTATGCAAAGCAATGAGTTCTACACTTACTACAAGGTTATAATGCCTTGTGGTATGTACTATTGCATCAAGAAGATTACGAAGAAGAGCAAGTCGTTTAACTTGCATAGCTTTGAAAGTTTCAAACAAGGGCTTGTTAATATATGCCACCTTAGCAATTACACCATGGTCCCCCTTGCTTATGCTGTGGAGTCTGATAATGCATTTATCTTTTATGAATACCCTCAACATGGAACACTCTATGACCTCCTTCATGGAAGATGTGATGACAATGTTGTAGACTGGAGAAGTCGCTTCGCCATAGCTGTTGGCATTTGTAGAGGTTTGGCTATCTTACATGGAGGCTCTCTCTTCAGCGATCAGATCCTCCTCCTCCATGTTTCATCAAGCAGCATCTTTATGAAACATTTGAACCAGCCCGTAATTGGAGATATTGAGCTAGGGAGGGCATTTAATTCTTCACAATTTTCTGTAGCAGTGGGATATGTTCCTCCAGGTAAACTGATCCTTCGTTGCTTTTGCGACGATGATGTGATTCAAATCTTAAACAAGTAATTATTGAATGTTCTTTAATTCATGTCTTTACAATCACTCACTTCACTTTGCACACTATTTTACCTACAAGGCAATTCAGAGTCCTTTAGGATTATCAAGAATCCCTTTGTCAGATTCTTCATCAAGAAACTTTATGGTTTGTTGTATCTTGAGAGTTTGAAACCAGAAATTATATCTAATTGGGTAGGATGATAACTACAACACAGAGATATAGTGCCGTCCATAAACCAACACGAACCAACTTTCATTTTCTTAGTTTTTGTTACTTTAAGGACCATTTATAGTTCCTGTTCTTATACTACTACAACAACTACTACAACTACTACACTTGAGTTTCAAATAAGTTGAAATCAGCAGTAGAAACTTAACTGACTACGTTACTCCATATAGTTAATGTCTTTTTAAGTGGTAAGATCGGGATAGAAGGAAGGGGAAGGAAAGTATTCAATGTGATTGAACTTTACATCAATCGAATTTATGACACCAATTTATTAGATTTCTTTCTCTTTTATGCAGGATGCCAGCTTCACTAAATAACTACTAGTGCTTATTTTCTCTCTGTTTTATAAGAATGATTTTTCATGTAATGTTTGTTTTCGCAGAATATGCTTCTGTGATGAAAGTGACTGAGGCTGGTAATATGTATAGCTTTGGGGTAATAATGCTTGAGCTGCTAACTGGGAAACCAGCAATTAGTGAAGGAACAGAGTTGGCTAAGTGGATAATTCAGCATGAAGATTTGGGTGAAGTTGTTGACAGCAGAGTGAGTGGAAATTCGGTTCAAGTTCATCAACAAATGCTTCTAGTGCTTGAAATTGCTCTGCAATGCTTAAGAGTCTCTCCAAATGAAAGACCTGATGCCAAAGAATTACTAGAGACTTTGCTAACTTTGGGCCAACAGTTTGGTATTTAATCACACATCGTATAGTACCATTATATTTCTACCTCATGTTATGTTGCTCAGACTCTTAAAAAAGATGATGTCGGTTGCGTGTTGTATCCCCCAAAGGTAGTGCATTTTGGGATGATCCGACACCGGTGCAACAACATTTTTGGCTAGTCTGAAAAGCTTAGACCTCAATGTCCTTATTATGTAGTTTAAGATTTTTGCACCTCTTAAGAAAGATAATTAATAGTGTCAATCATATGCTTGTCTATACTATCCCATTGGGTGAGAGCAAATTCTTTCCACCTTCTTATTGGTTGGGAAGCAGGGGAATAAGAGGAAAAGTCTCAATCTGAACAAATTTATCACTCCTTTTGCCTTGCTGGGATCTCACTGATCTATGGTGAGGTGCTATCTCCTGCTCCTCCTAAATAAGTTATAGTTAACACTTATTTGGCTCTAGACATGACTTTACCAACATTGAAAGAAATCTAAAATAACACATAAGAAAACCTAATATCCCTCCACAGAATCACAAAATATGGATACAGCGCACAACATATTAGAAGTATAGATTCCATTATGACATTGGTCCATGACTCACAAGAAAATCAATGCTTTGATATCAAGTTTACACACCCTAACTAGGTGCTAGCGATTTGTTTAATATTCTCTTCTTATAATGCTAAATAATGCTTAAGTAAATCCTTTGTCTACTCTAAGGTGTCTTAGACATATAGCTGATACTAGCTGGCTGAAATTATGTCTTGGGCTTGGTATGCTCTCATTAGGACAAACATTTGCTCTAGAAAAAGACCTAGCGTTTGGTCATGATTTTTTCTCTCTTTTTCAGCTCCGTAAAACATGTTGGTCCATAAAATTTTGAAAAAATCCGGAATTCAACTCGGAATCATAGGAATTTGAAAATACTGTTGTTTTCACTCCAAACTACTCACAAAAATTCAAAAACAACTTCAATTTGTATCCATGGCCAAACCCAACTCCAATTTTCAAGAATCATTTTTCACTTTGAAAACAAAAATTACTTTTTTCAAATACTCACAATTGTCATGGTAAAACAGCCCCCTAATGGCTTGCCTAGACAAGGTTATTTCCTTGTTAGCACCTTAATGTTACAGTTCTCAGCCATTTTATAATTAAAAATCCTAGAATCTTTCATAAGCAACATTACCTAAATCAGCCAAGAGCAAAAACTCCATTTCCTTGATTGCATTTCCCAAACTAGCAAATCTTCATGTCTGTCACCTTCATTCGCCAGGAAATCAACATGTGACAGTTCTTGGTCATATGCACCTACTATAACCCACCAGCAGGTAAGCCAACAAGTAATGGGTCTGAGGGAAGAAACTAAACAAGAGTAGGCAAAATTTAAGATAACAATATAAACAGGCGGAAGCAACCAAAACATATATATAAAAATAAAGATCCCTCCCAGAACCTGGAAGTCACTAAGCAAGATCGCAATACTTGATCCACTACTAAGGACTCACCCACCGGGGTTGAAACATGAACCGGCTCTGCCAAAGACACAGACCTCATACCCGATCTGGGAGCAAAATAAACAGATACATACGAGAATGTGGACCGGGATCAAATAATATTGTAGTAGGCTGATGGCATAATAAAAGCGTACATATGGTGACATCGTCAGATGCCTCAGCCGCCGCCCTCGTCGGGGTTGCATAGAAATGGCCCTGAGCACCTCTGCCCGATGCATCTGATCTACCACCTAACCTGCCTCCCCGAGCTCCGCCTCTGGTACCCTGTCCCGACGATCCTAGTCCTGACCACCACCTCTAGCTGGAGAGGGCACTGCTAAAACTGGTCTAGGTCCAAGGGGAGCTGGTACAATCGCCCCTCGCCGGGGGCACCCTCTGGACCAATGGTCAAGAGCACCGTAATCAAAACACCCCGAAGCTGAATGCCTTGAAGTAACCCGACCGCGGTAGAAAGAGAGAGAATCTGATCCCCTCGAACTCTTGCCCATACTAGGACCACCCTACTGATGCTGGCCACCCTCAGAAGCAGGTAATGCCGCCTAAACAGGCTGACTGGAACGTCTGGCGGGGCCTATCATAGGAGTCCCTCCCTCTAGTCTGGGACCCGATGTGCTGCCCTTTTGGGCCTCGCGATGAATATGCTCCATGGATCGGGCATGGTCGACCACATTAAGAAATGAACGGTCGACTGAAACCAAATGCTCTGTGTCGACCCTCAGACGGTACCGCATCCCACGTACACTCTCCTCCTCCGTATCTCGAGCCGGTGCTGCAGCCCTGCCTCGACCACGGGGTCGGCGTCTACCCCAAGTTGGGGCTCTGTCTCCAGGCTCGGTTGCATCACCCTCGGTTGTGCCGCCTCGCGTGCGAGCCATCCCTCGAAAGAATAAAATAAGTGAGATTTCAAGGAACCAATAAAACACAAGCTGCACGAAGTGAAACAAAAGAGGAAATTTTCCTAAAGACATCATGTAGCCTCCTGAAGATAAGTTACGAACGTCTCCACAAGACTCTACTAGACATTAGCATTGTACAAGTGAGACCGGTGAACCTGGAGCTAAGCTTGCCCCGCCTCCCGAATCTCATCACGCCCTTCATAGGCGATAATCGGAGAAATACCCGATCGGCCGTTGAGGTTTGTAGTTGGCGACCGGGTATTTCTCCGAGTATCTCCTATGAAGGGCGTGATGAGATTCGGGAGGCGGGGCAAGCTTAGCTCCAGGTTCACCGGTCTCACTTGTACAATGCTAATGTCTAGTAGAGTCTTGTGGAGACGTTCGTAACTTATCTTCAGGAGGCTACATGATGTCTTTAGGAAAATTTCCTCTTTTGTTTCACTTCGTGCAGCTTGTGTCTTATTGGTTCCTTGAAATCTCACTTATTTCACTCTTTCGGGGGATGGCTCGCACGCGAGGCGGTGCAACCGAGGGTGATGCAATCGGGCCTGGAGACAGAGCCCTAACTTGGGGTAGACGCCGACCCCGTGGTCGAGGCAGGGCTGCAGCACCGGCCCGAGATACGGAGGAGGAAAGAGTTCGTTGTTTCGTACGTGGGTTGCAGTACCGTCTGAAGGTCGACACAGAGCATTTGGTTTCAGTCGGCCGTTCATTTCTTAATATGGTCCACCATGCCCGATCCATGGAGCATATTCATCGCGAGGCCCAAGGGGGCAGCGATAAGAGGGCATGCTACCAGGGCAGCTACATCGGGTCCCAGACTAGAGGGAGGGACTCCTATGATAGGCCCCGCCAGACGTTCCAGCATGGTCAGTCCAGTCGGCCTGTTCAGGCGGCATTATCTGCTTCTGAGGGTGGCCAACATCAACAGGGTGGTCCTAGTATGGGCCAGAGTTCAAGGGGATCAGATTCCCTCCCTTCTTACCACGGTCAGGTTACTTCAGGGCGTTCAGCTTCGGGGTGTTTTGATTGCGGTGCTCTTGACCATTGGTCCAGAGGGTGCCCCCGGCGAGGGCGAGGGCGAGGGCGAGGGCGAGGGGCGATTGTACCAGCTCCCTTTGGACCTAGACCAGTTTCAGTAGTGCCCTCTCCAGCTAGAGGTGGTGGTCAGGACCAAGATCGTCGGGACAGGGTACCAGAGGCGGAGCTCGAGGAGGCACGTTAGGTGGTAGATCAGATGCATCGGGCAGAGGTGCTCAGGGCCATTTCTATGCAGCCCCGACGAGGGCGGCGGCTGAGGCATCTGACGATGTCACCACAGGTACGCTTTTATTATGCCATCAGCCTGCTACATTATTATTTGATCCCGGGTACACATTCTCGTATGTATCTGTTATTTTGCTTCCCCCAATTGGGTATGAGGTCTGAGTCTTTGGCAGAGCCGATTCATGTTTCAACCCCGGTGGGTGAGTCCTTAGTAGTGGATCAAGTATTGCGATCTTGCTTAGTGACTTCCAGGTTCTGGGAGGGATCTTTATTTATATATATATGTTTTGGTTTTGCTTCCGCCTGTTTATATTGTTATCTTAAATTTTGCCTACTCTTGTTTAGTTTCTTCCCTCAGACCCATTACTTGTTGTTCCGAGTTACGGGTTGGCTTACCTACTGGTGCGTTATAGTAGGTGTCATCATGACTCGAGAAATTGGGTCGTGTCAAGTTTAGAATTATATGCAGCATTCTTCATATTAATCGCTAGTTTTCTAGCATATTAGCAGCACACGGATGCTTCTTTTCATTAGGTATAAAACAGTTAGAACAGTCAGATATGTCAATCCAAGTACAGCTAACCTCCTTTTACGAACCCACTCTGCACATTCCCCTTCTAACACCTGCGGTGGACAGCCAATTTCCTTCCTTTGCATACTCTGATATTTCACACAGCTTACTGGCAACTACTTTCTCCGGTTCAAGATGTCTATGAACTCAGTAGGAAGCAAGAATCAATCCAGATAATCCCAAGACATCACCCTTCTCACCCAACTGCTGAGGAAAAACAACTGCTTCAACCACCCATCCGACTCTTCCTGACATATCAGCAATGCTAACCGCTGACCCATATTCTCTGTCCATCAACTCAAACCTTTTGAAGACCATCATCAACCAATGCAGTCGCAAGCAAACCAGATTGCTAGAGAGGAAAGACTTCATGTCTGTATCCACTCTGCAGTGGAGATGTAATAGCGCTGGAGCTTTTTCACCCATCTATGCTGACCATCTCGCTTGTAGTACTCCTGTATGGAGTAAATAGAGCACCAAATTGGATGTTCAATAAATTGACCACATCCAAGAGATCAAAAGTTTTTCTCATGAAAGCAAGATGAAAAATAAGCACCATGAAAAGACTGAATCAAGTCCAACGGGAAAGAAGATCAAGTCATAAATCACCTGAACCTATCTACTGTCAGAAACTTGTATGAACTTGCACCTAGAAGTAGCTAAGAGATGCTACCAAACAAATATCATATTTCATTTCAAGTGGATTAATGTCCAACAATGAACTCGTGCACATTTCCACTGATATCAATTGAACTGCATCCAGGTGACTTCTTAACACCTAAATCCCTCATAGTTCCTCTGACCTTTAATACATCTTCCCATCTGCCAGCAGATGCATAGGTGTTTGCCAGAAGTGTATGAGTGCTAGAATCATAAGATTCAATCTCCATGAGCAGTTCAGCCACACGTTCACCAACATCAACATTGCCGTAAATTCTGCAGGCACTGAGCAAAGCCCCGTATATTGGAACTATAATCTCATTGTCTCTATTGGGTATCTGAGATATCATTACTTCAGCTTCACTTAGGAGCCCAGCACGACCAAGTAGGTCTATCAAACAACCATAATGTTCTAATTTTGGCTGAATTGCATGAATCCTACTCATTGCATGGAAATACTTGCGACCTTCTTCTACCAAGCCCCCATGGCTACATGCACTTAACACTCCAATATAAGTGATATCATCAGGGTGAAATCCAGCTTGTTCCATTTCTGAGAACAGTTCCAGTGCCTTCCTAGTGTTCCCGCTCATGGCTAGAGAACAAATAATTGAAGTCCAAGATGCAGTGTCTTTCTCCTCTAATTCATCAAATATTTCCATCGATTTTTCTATACAACCACACTTTGCATACATCTCTATAAGGGCAGTACCAACAACGGCAGTAACAGTTATTCTGTTTTCCTTCATGTAATCATGAATCCATTCCCCTTGCTGCAGGGCTCCTAACTGAGCACAACCAGTGAGAAGAGCAACCAGTGTGTATTTGTCAGGTTTAATTCCCTGCATTTGCATCGAACGAAATAGGTCCATTGCATCATCAACACGATTGAATTGCACATACCCATTAATCATAGTTGTCCACAGAACTAGATCCCTTACTGGACTCCTCTCAAAAAGCTTTCTAGCTTCATCCAATTGACCACTATTAACATACCCCGACACCATACTAGTCCAACATATCACATTTTTCATTGGCATATCATCAAATATCTCCCTAGCCACCATCAAACACCCACACTTACAATACATATCTACCAATGCATTCCCAATAATAAGGCTGAACTCAAGCTCTTCAACAACATATCCATGAATTTCTCTACCAAGTTCCAAGCTTTTCAACGCAGCGCAAGCTGACAAAGTACTCACAACTGTAGCTTCATCAGGCCTAGCACCATTTTCCTCCCTCATCTTCTTGTAAACCACAACAGCATCCCGAAACCTACCACATCTAACAAATCCAGAAATCAATATATTCCAAGCAACCGAATCTCTCTGAGGCATTTCATCAAACACCTTGTTCAAACTCTCCACATAACCAAACAAACCATACATATCCATAACAGAATTACCCACATAGTTATCAAACAAAACACCAGATTTCAAGACATACCCATGAATCTTTTCACCTCCTTTCACCATTTTCAACTCACCAATAGCTTTAAACACAAATGGGTAAGTAAAATTATCAGGAAACAAGCCATGTATTCTTAATTCATCAAACAAGAAAAGGGGTTTCTTGAATTGACCCGTTTTCACATACCCTTTAATCATTACATTGTACATAAACAATGTTCGGTTCTCACAGCAACTAAAGATTTTCTTGGCGTAATTAAAGTCTGTATCATCATGAGTGGTAAAAGCTAATAGCTTGTGTAAAATGCCAATGTGTTTGTGGAAATTGAGAATGATAACTTGGGCATGGATTTGTTTGAGTTTTGTAATGGATTTGCAAGTCTTAAGAAGCTCAAAGCAAGTTTTAGTGTCAAGTGTATTGGAAATTGACCTAATTGAAGACATTATATTATAGGATTTAGGGAATAGAACACAGGTTGCAAAAGAACCAACTTTTTTCAATAAATAGAAAGGTATAAAAATATTGATTATGTATATTATATATTACTCCCTCCGTCTACTTTTAATTGTCATAGTTTTCTTTTTTAGAGTCAAAACGATAATAACTTTGATTAACATTTTACAATGTATTTTTTCATCATATTGATAAGCAAAAAAATTGAAATTTATAGTACTTTTTGTATAATTTTTGAATATTTAAATTTTTTGTTTAAAATATTGAATTAATGTAATCTAATTTAATTTTGAAAATTAATCAAATTGACTTTCAAAAAGTGTAACATGACAATTAAAAGTGACAGAGGGAGTAATATAAAGGCAAATGATGGTTTAGTAAATTATACTCAAATTGATATGGCTACGACTATGGTCAATATTTATTCAATTATCGTAGTTCGAATTTTGAGTTTGTTATCCGATTTAACTCAGATTTGTTTATAAATGCCTTTCATGCAATATTATACAAGGTCAATACATTATATATTCTTCTACTTTGAATATGAACATGTCCACAATCATACAATGGAGAAAAGTAGCCAATAACTCCAAAAGTTACATATTCAAAGCTTGAACTCAAAACGGTCGTCCATTGCTATTAGCCAACTACTCCAAAGGTTCAGGGGCTGGAGGTCAAGAGAGGAATTTCCATCTTTATACTCCTTCCATTCCACAATAAATGGACATCTTACTAAAAATATTTGTCTCATATTACTTAATCACTTATTAAATCAAGATAAAATTAATTAAAATTTTCCTATTTTACCCCTACGGTTAATATAGCATTTAGAAAGTTTAAACAAATTTTGAAGATCTAAGAATTTCTTTTTTCAAGAGATTAATCAATATGAACAAAGTGCAAAATAGTAAAGTTGATCAATCTATTAATGATTTCTTAATCACCATGTAAAATAGAAAATGTCGATCTAATACAAGATGGATGTAGTACCATTCATAAAAAGGATGGTTCATGATTTACAGAACTTCTCTAACTAACAAAAGAAAGGAAGACAGGGAAACGAACTAGTGAAAGATTTGGCAAAATCTTCAAAACATTAAACAGCAATGATAATTTATATCTGGGGTGGCCATCTTAAAACTTTCACCCCTTTGGACCTACATATAATAGAGTCAAAGCTGTATGTTTAGTTAACTGCAAAAAGAAACCTAGAAACAGATCTACATCTGGACTAATAGGATGAAACTTTTCAGGTTTCGATCATGGGCTCTGGATCAGAGGGTTCCGTCTGCGACTTGCCTGACTGACAAACGCTATTGAAAAGAATGTCTTTAATAACCTGAAAACCAAGGATAAATACATCCGACTGTCAAAACATTGCTGGATATTCAAATATGAATGATATGCAACTAATGTAAGAATACAACAGTGTATACCTGCGACATTAAGCCATGAACTTGCTCGACAGTAATCTTAGCACTATCACGTGTAATCTTAGCAAGCTGAGATTCTTCCTGCAAGTCAAAGGACCAACACGTTTAGTACCATGCATGTTGTATTCTGCAATTTACTGAAGCAAGTATAAGTAAGGAAGATAAAAAATAAAGGACAAAAGACTACAGAAAATTGAAGTAAAAATATGATAGCATTCAATGCATAGTCTGGAGTTGCAGGTCAAGACTAGGTAACTATGGCATAATCAAGCCCAATAGCGCAAATACAAATAGTGAAGTGAAACACTATGGCACATCATTACCTACCGCAGCAAATTACTGATGTTATGCTTCACAAAACATACATGAAAAGGGTATTGAAGTACCAAGAAAGCGAAAGGCTTCACCTTGGTACTTCTATCAAGTTCATCCCTTTCTACAAGTACCCACAATTACTCTACTTCTTCTCGTACCCACTATCTATAACAAACCTCTCACATTTCTTTATTGGGGCATTGCGCATCCCCTCTTCACATATCCAAACCATCTCAATCTCACTTCCCTGATCTTGTCCACCAATAAAGGTAACATGTAACAAATGGACGAAGTAGAAGATACTACCCAAGTACTAAACAAGAATACTGCTAGTAGGAGAAATGGGGACTAGCCCCCCGCCTCACCCACCTAAAGGTGCTATAACGCTACTAACCTTCTACCTTAATTCTCAACATCCTAACTTTCCTTTCTAGGATCAGGTCCACATTAAGCCGCAAGTGTGCTATGTCCAGCGAAATCATCTATACCCCTGTACTTCTTTGTCCTGCCTCTAGCACTCCTGACATCCACTATAACCAACCTCTCACGCCTCTCGGATTCTGTAACTTCCACCACCACTAATTTTGAACAAAATGGTTACATGCCTACTAAAATAGGCTTTGGAAATGGGGGGAATAGAAATGGTTGGTTCAATTGTTTTTGGGATCTACTTTCCTCTGTATAAATATTGCATGTGCAAAGGGAAGTGGAAAGAACACATGAAGACTGAAAACCAGTGCCCAAGGCACAAGACTGGTTTACCAAATAAGTAATCACAAAGTTTATCCTCAAAATTTCACTAGGTTAGTTGCTACCATAATCATAGGGTTTTTGTTTTCCACTCATTTGCCTTTGACCGCTTTCTCATCACTTATATGTGTCTGCTCCCCCCTCCTACCCCCCAAAGAAAAATCTCAAACCCCTAATGTAACGACGAAAACACAGGCACCTGTTGGTATTAAACAAAGAAGTTCAATAATGATGGCAGGTCCCCTCTTTAACACCTAGTTCTGGTTCACAGATCCAAAATTTGGCAAGTGATTATTTTTCACCACTCTTACTTGACAAAAGTCTTTATTACACAGGTTTACTATAATAGAGGGCCAAACCATTCATAGCTAAGATGAGATCATATTGACACATTATCATAATGAACTAGTTTTTTATTAGGGATGTTATTTCACACACATTCACATGGGAATGAGACTTTTCTCTGTCCACTATACCTTTCTTCAATATCTTCTGTTAAAGTAGAAAGAGAACTCTTCATTCATACAATCTTGGCCATTTCTCCATCTCATAAGAGCTTCAAGCACAAGCTATTGCTGAGAGTTGTATGAACCTAATCCATAATCAAATTGATTTTCTTCTTGTATTGCATTACTTTCTCCTAGTTGAACTTCATAAGCACGAATTAGGTGTTCCAGTATATACGGTTTTGCAAACTCTCACCATTTAAAAGAGAAGAGAAAAATCAACATGTACAATTGGAGGCAAATTTATATTTAGTTCCCTTTGTATATCCTTGCACATTTTAATTGTAAGCAGTTTCATAGCCCAGCAAAATATAATCAAGAGGCCTAGTATGCTATAAGCTACAAAGTTCCAAAAACAGCCACTCTGTGAGCACAAAATATTACCTAGGTTCATAATGTCTAAATAGGAATCACATGTCAAAAAGATTCAAAGATAATGGTTCAACAAACACAAGACTTAAGAACTGTCAAACTAATGTTCTCTTTTTTCAATTGGTCAAACTAATATTATCAAACAAAGAGATAGACTTGTAAGTTAGAGTATGCATTGTCAAGACTTGAGAGAAAACAAAAAAATACCTCCTTCTTCCTTTGAGGGGCTGCCACTAAGGGCCCAAAACGTGAATGGGGCAGTTGATTTTCAGCTTGCTCCAACTTTTCAGCTGCATGAGTTAATGGGATCAACTAATTTTGAGGTGTTTCAATATTGTGTAAACTCATGTCCAGGCATCAAATCATTATGATGATAAAAGAAGGTGGAAAAGGTAGGCAACAATGATATTACCAAGATCAGATATCTGTCCAGCAACATAGTCTCCATTTCCAAGCAAAGGAGAAGAAGAAAGTGTGTTCACCCAATACTTGTTCCATAGTAGATCCAAGAGATGGCAATCGAGAGAGGACTTAAAATACGTAACATCCAATGAATAATACTGCAAATTAAGAGAAAAGTTGGTGAGCTAACAGTCAAGAGTAAAGCTGAAGTTGAAGTCCTAGATTTAACATAAATGTGTAAGTGCATGCGCTCATGCCAATAGGCTGACCTGCTTGCAATGTACTCCAAAGTCTTCGATTTTGTTCAAAGGAATGGTCTGGTACTCTGAGATAGGGTCATCTGGAGGCTTATATCCTTCAGGATATGTTCGAAAGGCACCAATCTCAACTTTTCCAGCAGAAACAGTTCTTGTTGGATCAATAACAACTGCAAGAAAGGGTTCCTGATACTGCTGGTTAAGCATTTGTGTAGATACATCAATGCCAGAGAGCCAGCATCCATAGCCAGGATGAGAATGGTACCACCCGACCACATTCTCCAGCCGACCAGCCTATACCATAAAGTCTTAATAAGAGAATGGTCTGAACAAACTACTGGGACAAGCACACTCCAATTCAGAAAACCAATCCACACACAATGTATAAATCCTATATAACATTGTCTACAGATAAAGTATAATCAGCTCAAAAGAATTTCTAGGTGCAGCAAGATTGAATTTTGTGACTTGAGGAAGATTTTTGACCTGAAGTTACTAACTACTAAAGTTATACATATGTACAATATATATAGAGACTCCAAGACTATAATTATAAAAACACACATGAAGCAATAGATCAACCGAAAGAATTGACTTTTTGCTAATGATTCTAAAAATCTACATACGAAACTTGATTTTCTTTCCACGAGGCTCAAAATAGGTACCCAGTCAATGAAAACTGGCCCGGCCACCAACAAGAACAAAGTTTCAATCTCAATCAATTCTATCAACTCACCGTCCTGCCCCTTTTGAACCAGTTTACAATATTTATTAAATCCGAAAAGTCTCTGTAAACTGACTAGTTTAGCGCTAGTGTACCCTTCTCCATTATCGACACCACAACATCAAAAAGAAGAAAAAAAGTGATAAAAGGCATTAACCTGCTTGTTGGTCTGTGAATATTCAACCATGTATTCATACGCATCAGCTTGAGCATTAACCCTAGTTTCAGTTCCTTCAACAGGAAGAGCAAAAGCATCCATAACAATAA